CAGCTCGTGGATATAAGTGTATGTAGTACCATTGGCATTTTTCTCCACTTTTTTTAGGTTTATTCAACCTCCAACCCGAGCCATCGCTCTCGTTTTCCTATACCTCCGGGCGTCTCGTTTATTCCCGGCATCGGAGCGTATTACGGGCTATTCATTAACGTGTAATTGACTTTTCAATACGAGGAGGGGAGGGAGTGTGCGATGGTATGAACCGGACACGTGGAAAGATGGAAAAGACGGCATGAGTTACGATCGCTTTTGGTATTACGTTGCCAATTTTACAGCTGTAGATTACTTTTACGCAGCACCGGGTTATTGCTGTTGTACCTGTGGTTTCGGTAATTAGGGAGTGGCTGTTGCGGTGGGTTATGGATGGGGAATGATGGGGGATTGTTCTTTTTTTTTTTTTTTCTTTTAGGAAGAGGACTCTTTCGTATATGGTTGACGTAATCCGGTGGACACGTGGCACGCGTTGCGTGCGAACACGCGCCGTGATCTCTCACTTCCGCAAACATCCGGAGATGTTCCGAGATATCGTGATTGTTGTTCAACATGCCATTGTTGATAGAACCGGTGTCAAGACGAGTCTTTATCATCGGCTCAAGTCAATCTCACGAATACATAGGTATACTAACGTTTATTGATCATTTTTATCAGGCATGTGAAAAAAGAAAATTTTTTCCCTGCGCCTTATTTTTCTTTTAATTTTTTATGGACAATCATTTTCTGCTGGATTGCGGGGATTTTTAAATCCATGGTGAAAAATTTGATAATTATTTGATCTTTATTGGAGATGAAATTTAATTGTCTTTTCAATGTCTTCCCCGAAATTCCCAAAGACAGGAGAATTCACCTGAATTCCAGGACAAAGTGGCCCTGGATTTCCGGTAACATGTCGGTCGTGGAAATTTTCAATTTCTCCAACTGGCGTCATGAGCAATTTACGGACAATTGCGGGTTCATCCGTGAAGTGAATTGAATTTCCCTGGATTTGTAAAACACCCGTGAAATACTCGAGACTGAAATATCCCTCGAGGTGTTCTTTTTCCACTTCTTCATATTGGATATTAATATTTGTTCCGCAGGAAAGATCACAACTGGCACTCTAAAAGCAGTTGTATAAAAATGAAGAAGTAAAGCAACGATAGAGAGAAGATGGTTTATGTCTTTTAGTTTTATGGGTTGATCGGTATAAAAAATGTATAAAATACAGGATCCGTTTTGCCATTATTTCCCAAGCACACCCGGACCCATCACCATCACTTGTACACCGTTTTCTCGGTAGAGTGGAGCTTTTACCCGTAGGTGGGGAGCAGGTGGGAGTTGGAATAAGGTTCCTCTCGTTTCAGAACCATTTCAAAAATAACCGTTTTACCCATCCGCTCTTCCTCCTTCAGATGCGGTCAACAGTTTTCCACATCTATGGAATTCTCGGGAGTTGATTGGAGGTGTAGAGTCAATCGCAAAACCTTCATCCTGAATCTTCCTCTCTGCTTCAACTCAAAACCATTTTTTTTTCCCTTCTTTTTTTCTTTTTTTTTTCGTATGGATTCTCTCGCGGTTCTGCGTTCTCCAGTTTTTGCTACTCTAACTTCAATCCAACGAAATCTTCCGCAACTGTTACGTAGTTCAACATCTGTTGGATAACACGGCATGGGTAGTTTATTGCTGCGAGTACTTTGCACGGTGCACGCGGCAATGAACCGAGACCCTGACTTTCAGAAAATTATGGGTGAATCATAGCGGGGAAAAGGGATTATTTGCGCCGGATAAATTAAGTTATTTCGGAGGTCTCCTGAGGGGACGGACTGGAAAATCAAGGGGGAGGAGATTTTAATTGAATGACGGGTAATTACACGGTGAAAAAAAAATTCAACTGTCGGTAGAAATCTTTTCATTCCACCGATGATACCCTAGAATTCAGGGAAAATACTCAGCAATGAAATAACTCCGTGCTTGGAATGTGAAATAATAACCTATCTCAGCGGAGATCAGCTGTCCACGGAGAGAAAAAAAATTGAAAGCAAAAGTTCAATACAAATCACCACGAAATCCAGTAAAAAATTATCTAACGAACTTGGATTTTAATGTGATATTGCGGAAAAAATTGCAATTACACAGAGATGCGTTCTGGAGTATATAAAAACGTAATTTACCCGCAGGATCTCAGGCTCATTAATTTTCATTAACGAAGAGCTTAAGATTCAGATAAATTTCCTGCAATGAACACTGTAAGAAAGTTATTGAAATTTCTTCTTAAATATTGCGATATTTAATCAATATTTATTCAGATTCCCTGAAAAGACAAGAAGATGAAGTTTCAAGGCCAGGATAATTCAAGGATAATTGAAAGGGAAATTTCTCATTCTCTGCGAACCAAAAGACCGAAAAATTTTTGTTTATCACTTGAACTTTCAGGAGTACTAGAGGTATTCTTGCTTATGACAATTAAAATTTATTTTATCATCTGTAAAAATGAATACTTCAACGGAGTGAGAACAGTGGAATAAATCAACTTATTCTGCTGTCACACGTGCCTACGTTTCAACCCACATGATTCTCTTGAGCCCGTAATTTCCTTCAAGTTTTTCATCAAAGCGATTTTATTGTGACTCGTGCTATTAACTCTTCTCATTTGTTTTGACCGTTTATGAGTGATTTTGACAGTAACACATTAGATGTTGAAAGGGTAGTCTCGATTGATAGGACTCGTTGATTTATTTCACTTCAGGGAGCACAAGGTCGACTGCATTCCTTCGTGCCTTCATAAAGGCGAAAATTAATGCAGTGAAATAAAATCCGTTGAAATCTCATCTTTAATTTTTTTTCAATTAAAAATTTTATCGAATATTTGATTCAATTCCACAAGAAATTAACCATTACTGATTTTTAATCGATCTGTAAAATACATTTACTATTTGCGCTCAGCAAAATCATTAATTCTCGGGGAGCTGGGGGAATGGGCTTAAAAAATTATCTATAACACCGAAGTATTCAGATTAGATCGCTGAGGATTGAGAAGAAACATTCCACTAACCCATAAAAATTCTGTTTAATCACGATCGATGCAGATTTGTTACGGTGCTAAAAAGGCGAACGGTATTTTCCCAGGAAAAATCCCTCGCACTGTTAGAAAATTAGTCTTGAAATTTCAAGGGGGAGAACTGGAAATTTCTAACAACTAATGGACATTTACGTTTTGCATTTGGTCCCTGGAAAATTCGGTAATTTCCCCAATAATAATAACAATGATTAAATTTTCCGACATCTTAAACATTTCAATTTCCCGGTGAAAATTCCCAAAATTTCTCAATTTTTCCTAGACTATTTTTTTTTTCAAAAACAAACCAAAAAACAATTCCGAATCAAAAGGAAAAAAAAATTCAAATACAGGGAGGAAAAATATATTTCTTGCAAATTAATCAACTTGTGCCAAGTCAATTTATTTTGCGGAAGTCATTACTTTTCTGAGGGTAGGAGTAAATTTTGGGGATGAATCCGTTATTTTGGGTGGAAATTCCGTCCAGAGGTTCAAAAAATTTGAAACCACTCAGGGTTCACCGGCCTGTCTAACGTTCATTCATTCATCAGGGAATTTCTGTAGAAATCGCTAAATTGTGGGATTTTGGAGGTAACACATGGAATAGTGTCCCGGAAACGAACAATTCGGGTCTCGGAAAAACGGCGGGTACAAGTGTTAACGGAACGCACTAGGTACAGAGCGTCTTGGCTAGTTGACCGCGTTAATGGCGTTCTCGTGTTTAAGTTCCTGACTTGAGAAACTGAAGGTATTCGTGTTTATACGAATGCGACAAAACTTAAGGCCATTGCCATCATAACAGGGAAAAATACCCCTGAGCTATTCACCGGGGCACTTCCCTTTGTCCGACCAGGAATGTCTGTGACTACTATTTGCGGAATGGGGGGAAAAAGTGGCCAAAACTAATCTGTAATCGTCGGAGATGAATCCTTTATGCCAGGAAATAAATGCCAGTGACGAATAATAAAAGACCGACTGTTTTTTTTATTAACGCCTGTTTTTATTCTAGGAAATAATTTATTGGTGGATTTTCTGTGAAGAACGAGAAACCATTGACCACTGTATTTTTTTCTCCCCAAGGCATATGAACCTTAATAAGCCATGAAAATTCAGCAATTATTCAACATTTCTACCTTTCTTCATTAATTATTAATTTAGAATTATCCCACCACCCTTAAAAAAATCCTCAAAAATGGAAACCTCAAAAGGAAAGAGTTTCCTCTTAATTTCCATAGTCCCCATAATGAATTCATCAACAAAATCTCAACTTTTCAATCATTTAAACAGTTTTACAAAAGGAAAATTTATAGCAATATCAATCCTCTCCCAAACAATTATGATTTTATTTCGAGGACTATAAATTAACCCGGGAATTTTTCCCTCGAGAATTTAATGAGTCATGAAAATATCGTAATTAACGATAATTTTGGTTGTCTTTATGAATTATTAATGGGAAAAATATAGCAACCGAGAAAATGTCCTAAAACAAAATGCCAACCACAAATAACCACTAATTTGCCAATAAATTTTTAGGTAACACTCTCGCTCCACCCCCTGTACATATCATGGGTACCTAATGTCATGTGAGGCTAGCTGTAAATCGACCACACAGTCTTACCGTGTGACACGTATGATATTAGTCATCGCGTGTGCGATCTTGCGCTTCCTTATCCCTCGTACCTCCCCATGCCTCATCTTCCATTCCATCGATCCCTATTCTCTCTATTCTCTCAGTCATACCTCTCTGTTTATATCTCCACCCATACCATCATCCAATGCTTCAAGATGATCGAGCCCAGCACGATCGCAAGACCGTGTACTGTGGTTAATGTCCCGTTTTTGATCCAGCGACAGAATCGATACCCATCCAATGTCGATCAGTTATTCCCGAGATAATCAACACCAGACCAATAATAAAAAATCAACAAAACCATCTGAATAAACAAGTGTACAAACTCACATTTGCAGGTGCTTGTATCTGCCTCCCATTGTATTTTTCTCCTTTTCCTTCAATTAAAACTGTCTCAATCACAATACCAGACACTTTTCAGTCCACAGCTTCACTGTCCCAACCCCAATTTAATCCTCAGATCAGTCATCAATTAATAAATCATCCTTATTTTATATATTGATTTGATTTTTTAATCACTGCATATGTTGATACTTTCTTTACGATTACTTCTGGATAATCATCAAACACGATTGATTAATTTTAGAATAAACAGTTGGAGTTTGAATTTTTTTTTTTTATTTTTTGATCAAAGCCTTTGCAGGGCTTCTGATTGTCGTTGACACACTCGATGATTTAACGCGAATATGAACACGGAAATAATGCGGCTGTTGGTGGTGAATGCTCTTGTGCTCCAGGAGAGGTACCGAGGAACTGAACTCCTGCGCGCAAGGATGATCCAAGAGTAAAAGGAAGAGCCGTGCTCTGCTGTTGGCAGAGTGGAGCACTGCGCTGTAATGACATGGTCTAGGAGATGCCGGTCAGTTTTGTAATAGGACTGGTAAAAAGTGAATTTTACCGGGTGGGGAAACGAGCGAACCGCCAATAGCAGGGGATCATCCTGACGCTCACCCAGGGAGTGAGGACAACCACTGGGGACCAATCAGAGCGCAACATTCCGGGGAAGGATGAGGCATTTTTTCTCACCAGGATGAGGACACCCTCTCCTAACTTGTGGACCGACTCATTATGATTTAACTCGCGTGAGGTGACGTAAATCATATATTCGGTTGGATAAGTCCTAGCCCGTCGATTGCATCGGTGAACTCCCGTGGAAATGATATAGGGGCATTTGTGGTGAAATCTTCAGGGGACAATGAGGGAAATTATTCTCGGGGCAAGATTATTTGGAAATATTTCACGATTTTTCCATTTTTCAAGTCGGCGAAAATCAGGAAAATCAGGAAAATCGACCAGAAAATTTCAGATTCAGAAAAACCTGGAGGATTTTCTAAAATAATAAAGTGTGATCTATTATTTAAATAAAATTTTCAATAACATGACGTGAATCCCGTAATTCTTCACTGCACGGCACTTCGCCCCTGAATTACGGAACTCTCCAATCCCTCTATGCAAAGATTTAAAAAAATGAATCCCGGGAAAAATGGGAAAGCCTGTCGATTTTCTTTCTCAGCACTCTTACCCATAAAACCCCAGAACGTTACCTAACGTTTTTGATCCTCCAGTAGGTTTCACCTAGGAATTTCGAATATGCCAATATTTCCCCCGAAAATTGAGATTCACCTCCTGGGAATTGTACCGCATATCATTTTCCACAGTGGCTTCTGCATTTCGCGATCCCTGAAAGACCAATTTCCCTCCGAAGGATTTACGAAGAGCCCCGTTAAACGCGTGCACACCCGGAAATCCCGCGGGCCTGGCCGCCGGTGTAAAACCGACAAAAAATAATAAATAAAAAAAAACAGTATTACCCACTTTTTTCTGATTTTCCCTGATTGTGCGATCTTCCACCCACCGCGTATGACACCATCTCCATGGACCGCTAATGATTACCTGTCCACCTTCACTGGAGTTTTCGCAGACGTTCGTGATATCCAAACGAGACCAAAGTGTTTTCGAATAACAGGACTGATATACTCAAGGGACTTGGAATTAGCCGTTGGATTGAGAACTATTGTCCTTGATCGATTGTCCCAGTCAGCATGAGCTCGACGGATCCTGGGGTTCCGTCCTCACCGGGGGACTGGAAATAAAAATCTTTTATCACTGGATTTCCAATCGTCTCTCCCAATCTTGATGGGACATAATCTTGATTATCATGGGTTCTCCATGAAAACCACCTGCTGACATTCTTACCCATCACCACGTCATCGCATCGCGGTTAATGGAGATATTGGAATAAAAATACCGATACCAAAGAAATCTCACTAAGAAAATCAATTATTGAAATGCTCCTCTCAATTACAAGAGTACCTGACAAGACAATTAATTTTTAAACAAACGTTTCGATTTATCATACTTTTTAAATAAAAAAAATTGTGAGTTTCAGGTGCTTAATGGAGTTGGTGATTTATCTATGCGTTATCTTCCCTAAAATGTCTTGATAGTTGAGGAAAAATAACGGAGCCCACACGTCGCTGAATTTTTCTCAACATTTTTATTGAATTTTTCTGTACGTGCATAAATCCCTCATAAATCCCGAGTTACGGCACGAAAATTGGTCATCATGACTGCATTTTCTGGCGGAAGTCGCCCCGGGTCTCTCGATGATTATTCCATCCAGAATAAACACATGCTCTACCAAATGACTCAGAAATAAGGGAATGAATATTATAATAACCGAGAGCACGAATTATTAAGAGATTAAACTAATATTTCCAACTTCTCGAGATTTATGCCTACATTTTGTTACGATCCCCAGCAACCCCATCTTTAATCTCTCATTAGACCCGAGAAAGCACAATTCATTCCGCCGATTCCCTCGAGGGATATTTCCACCCCAAAGGACTGATGAAAAAAAATTCATTTCAAACGTGAATCACGGAATCACGACTGTTAGATTCACTCGACTATAAATAAGCCGAGTACTTACTGATGGCTTGTCAGATTCAGAGATTTCCCATTGGCCTCTGCTCGCCTTCGATTACCACTCGAAAACAATGAGAATAACTAATTGATGAATAAAAAATTTTTAAATCATGGACAAAAATTATTCTGAACAAATTACGCGACTAATTATATAATCGCGCGGAGAAATTCTGAGAACAATGAGAATCAAATGGAAGAAATTGCATTTCATCTTGCCGCAAAAAATGGAGAAGAGGAATAAAATGAATTAATATAATAGTATCTCACGTTACAAGTAGAGATTATTGATATTGCAATAAATAATTTCATGAGTCAATGAATTAAAAATTATGAATTTTCAGTACACTTGTTTTTCCAAAATTTGTGATGAGTTCATGATTGCTAGATTTTGGAATAAATTTAACTATAAATTTTTCTTGACGTTGATTTCGCGCTATTTGTTAATCCCTTTTGTTTCCATTCCCTTTCCACCGTTGCGTTATTCTCCTGGTGGATTGAATCAAGGGGGACAGAGAGGGCGATAGTCCGTGGGAGAACTTGGCCAATTTCATGGACGTTTACTGTCACGGTCTTGGGAATCGTTCTCGTTGTTCTTTTATTTCTTAGACACCGTACTAATTGCATTAGTATCGAGTCTATTATATTCTTCACATTTTTATCGGTTCGAGGATATCCCAGTAATCTTGCTAATTTTCAACCGTAAAATCCTTCTTTACATTTCACTTCGAATTTTTTATTTTCCTATTTCATCGCGTTCTCGATATTTCCATATTTACCAGAAATAAAAACCGAGATAAATTCCCAAATAAATCCCCACCCCCAAATGTCCAAGAAATTCCGCGTCCAAAAAAAAAAAAAATTGCCACTGTATTTTAAAATTCCAAGAGTAATTTAATTTTTTCAATTTCAATTCACCCTGACTCTGTCCATCGATCAGCAGGATTCAACGAGGAAGTGCGCCTGATCGTGAGGGATTACCAAAAAAAAATGTTAAAAAAAAAACAAATGTGGAAAAAAATTCAGCCATTCGATTTTTTGCCGCGGGAGAGTGGTACTCACCCTCTAATCGATCAGATAAAATAAAAAGCAAGTGCGCACCAGCGGTTACCGTGGGGCAACTGGCGTTGATGAACTTTACGTATGAACCTTTAAAACGTAGTGGCTTGATGATATACGGTCTGGTGTAAGACCAAGCGTCGAGGTCGATCTCGTGCGATACCCTTACCGAGTTGCAATTATTTGTATCGTAGTTTGTATCTTTCATTCGTTCAACAAAGCACCACACACTGATACGAAGAGGCCATGGATATTAATACGAATTTACAAGGGAAGATGAGCATGCCGTAATTAAGAGGGAATAAAAATGTGATTAATGAAGTTATTCCATTTTTATGATTTACTGGATTACCCGAGGGAGATTGATATTGCATTGTATAACACGGGAAATTTACGCTTGAAAACACGGGAAAATGGACTTTTTACCTTCAATAGCCCTCGAGATATTTACTAAATAACGTATCGAGCAAAACATCTGATTCACTTGAGAGTCAAGGTAGAAATAAGTAGTAGGCAGAGTTATTTCACAAGCCCGATCAATGAATTGATTCATCACTCATTGATAATATTTATCATTTATTTCTGTGGATGGAAAATTGACACATTGATCGAAAAATTAACCCAAATTAACAACCAAAAATTGGAATGCTTGAGAATAAATAAAATAAGATGCAAGGTGACTAATAACTTGAGGTGCGCTGAGAAATCCTCGGATAAATCCAAAGAAATAAGTATTTTCAAGCGGAAACTCGTGAATCATTTCCTGAAACAAAGTTGCCCTCTAAAAAGTCATCGAGTTTTTTTTTGCGAATTACGCGAGCATAGAGTGAGAATTAAAAGAATGAGGATAAAAAGATGTTGAAGAGGAGGATAAATTCCCCCCCTGCGGTGGTAATGTGTGAATGTTCCTGAAGTTGCGCACCGTGACGTCACAGTGACAAGCTGAAAGGATGCATTATGTCATCTGACATCAGCAAAAATAGCGGAGAGTTGGTTAGCCATTCCTAATGCACCTTTTCATCTTCAATTAACCTCAGGTGCATCGATACACAGGTCCGTACAAATGCTGATAACCGTTAATGTTGCATGTGAAGTATCGGAGCGTCTGAGCTCTTCCCTTTCAATTGCCTCGGAGAATTTCATTCTTCATTTCATTCGTTTTGCTCAATTTATTTTATTTCTCATTTTTACGAGGTTAAACACGAGGTAGGTGAGAGTCTTTTTGCCAGGTTGCCGACGACGGTGGCCTCGCGCAACATTGCCAATTCAATTGGCAGACAATACTCGATACCGAGGATGATGGACGGACGATTGGAGCGAGACCGATGGACCAGAAATGAAAGTCATAAACGGCACAGGGATATTACACGAGGGTAAAAGGGAATTCCATACTTTTTTTTTCTCTGGGTTTACTCGCATTGCGTGTAAATGTTGGCTTTCTGGAAAATACTTTTACGATCGGGGGAGGACGGGAAATGGAAAGTGCCAATCATCCGCAGATAGTCCGGGCATGATGAAAACCTTTGGTGGTCGAGGAATTTTAAGAGTTATCGGGCAAATTGTTTTCTAGATTGCAAGTGGAATTATCCGGCGTTGGCGACACCGGATACCTATTCGTTGACCGTGAGTACAACATTCCCTGCTAGGATTTTTTAGCTTTCATCCAACATCTTGAACATTATCACTTTCAATTCACAGAACTTTCTCTGGGAATTCCACGCTGTTGAAATATTTTTGGGGAATAAAATATCAAATATCAAATATCAAATATCAAATATCTAATAAAAGTTTTGCTTTAGTCCACTGAAAACTTGGGAAATTCTGAATTCAATGATTTTACAGTTTCACATTGAATTTTTGTAATTCAAATTTATTATTCTCAAATATAAATTGGTCCGTAGAATTTCAAATCTCCCATCAATCGGAGAAAAATTCGCAGATTCCCGTGTGAAATGCCGAGTGCTAGCATTGGAATTTTTCAGTATAGACGGTAATTTGCGCGGCTTATCCCGTGCTAGTCCTAGAATTTTTCTATTCAATTTTTTTCCGTATATCTAACCATCAGAGGCCCCATAAAATAGTTCCAGAAGTTCATAGGAATGATTTGTTCTTAAAATCCGTGGATTACCGTTGAAAAATTTCCAATGCAATTGCCAGTGATTTCTGGAAAATGTTCAACAGGACTTTTGGATTTTGGGGTACAACTAACGGAATGATTTCAGCTTTTCTTGAACTTGAAAATCGCCCAGTGATGGATAGTCTCGCTGCATTTGCTGAGATGTTGACTGAGTGGTATCAAAATGCCTGTGTCGTGACTGGTGCAGCCGTGTCGGACATTAAAACCCTTTGGATAATAACGAGTTACGTACACCGCCATTAAATCCTCTGTTGAATTTGTATAATTTTATCATTTCTTTTTCGACTCATCAGCAATCCTCTTTCCTCACTCCTTCCCACTTTATTCGATTATTGCAGGCGGAAGTTATTTGCATAAAGGAAAAATCGTGGGAAAACTCGTGTCATATTACCTCATTGTTTTGGCGATTTACGTGATTGAGACAGGACTGTGGGTGAATAAAAAAATTATCGAGGTACTCACTGGTGTCATCGCAGAAGCGAAAGAGTGAGTTCTCATAATTTTTAATTTACAATACTTTCTCGTGGAATATTTTATTTTTGCTATAAAAAATTCAGTCCCTCCTACAGTCAATTGATTAGATCAATCCATTTTCTACAAAACAATTACCTCCGAGTTATCTCGGTTTACTACTTCCATCCTGAACTTATTTCGACATGACCAAGAAACAATTGCGACATGTGCGCCGACAGAAAAAAATTTAATTCTCAGAAAAGTTTATGTTAATGAAAATTAATGGAAATAAGATTCTCAAAATTAATGGCTTTTTCAAAGTCAGGATAAAAAACTGAGAGTTATTAATTGATAAAGAAAATTTAAAGTCATTAAAGTACCGGAAGTAATAAAAAAATTAATGACTATTTTTTCTGTGGGTATAAAATCTCATTTCTCTGGCAATTCAAAAATTTAAAAAATGGGCAAAAATTCAACTACAACCCCGAGATATTTACATGATGAAATTTTGATTCCAGTCCTTAACAAAAACATGGTATCAAGTATTTCCACAACCGAGTTACAACGTACATAAACAATGAAGTGGCGTATAAACATTGGTGGGCACAAGTTGGCAAGTCGTAAAAGCCTCTCCACCTGTGCGTTTTCTTCCTCGTTGAGGATGAGCCTCGTGTGTCCTTAGTATTTCCGAGTGAGTGGAGACGGTTGAAATGTGCCTGGTCATTTCTCCCGATGGTGGAATGTAATAGGAAACCGAGGGTTATGCGACGTAGAAACGAGTGGAAATTGTTTACGAAAACAAAACCAAGTTTTCCATGAGAGACCAGGCATTAGCCAAGTTTCACGCTCCACGCGCTCACTCATTATGTCAGCCAGTCTTCCCCGTCCATCCTCCATTTTGTATTTCACCTCACAACTTTTTGAATAACCGGTTTTACACCGGAATAAAAGATTGATCTAGATCATCCTTCAGAAAATGAAAGTGAAAATTTTGTAATACCGGAGAATAAGGGGACAATTTTTTATTCCGGAAGTGCGTTAATGTTCTCGAGTTATGAATTATCTTTCCAGCTATTAAAAAGTACTTTGTTAATTTTCAGGAGCAACGAAGCGACCCTAGCCCTCGCTGTTTTTCTTCTTCTCCTCGTGACCTCCCTTATTACAACGATCACTACATTTTCCTGCAACGACTGATGCCTCCAACTATTCACAATGAAACCTCACCAATATAATCACGAAGGCATCCCGTGATTTCCGCGAATCACGCGAACGCATCTCAAATCCATTTGGACGTTTTTATTTGCCTCAAACTCCCCGACTAATCGCTCCATCTCGATCTCCAATAATTCCATCACGGATGAAATCACGGATTCCCACAGACGAGCTAATAAAAACTGAAAAATTACTCGAAAATCGTTCAAGTTAATCAACACAAGCAATTGGGATGTTCACTCTCGATTGAAATAACGAGAGTGAAATGAAATAACAAAAACCGAAAAAACATCTGTAAAAATTATTGTGTGGAGAGTGAATCAATATTCCCACCCATTTTTCATCGTTACCCACCGTTTCCTCAGATAATTCCTCAGATAATTCACTCCAAATAAATAATTCCTCAGATAATTCACTCCAAAAATGCAATAATATAATAATAATATTATTGAATCAATCGAAAATCCCGCAAACTCAAAATAATTCATGAACTTTCGTGCATTAAAAGATTAAATTAAATGCGAATGATTAATCTGCTCCCAAAATCGAATTCTATAGTTTCCCCGCATCAGACTCGCCGCCATTTTACCCTCTTCCACCTGGAAATGGCGACGGTACAGTGGGCGGTAATTTCAAATATCACTCGATGACGGGGTAATTTCTCGTTATACATTTCTTTCAACAACTCCCAGCTGTCGTATGTAATTATAATTTTATAACCAAGTGCTGTCGAGTTTACGCGGCCACAGGATCATGTAGCGTTCCCCCGGTTAAAATAACCCCGATAATGCCCATAAATCCTCGTTTTCTGTATTCAACGGTTACGAACCTGCATTACGGCTTAATACGTTGAGTTTTGCCGATTTAACCGCACGAGATGAATTTTTCTGTATTCTCTAACTGCTGGTGCTATTAGACTGTTTATTCATTCTGTTATTCTTTATTTCTTGTGGTCAGGGCATTTAATAAAATTTTACGTGAAATCCTTTATCACTTCTGTATGCACGCCGACGTGTACTTGGGGTCTAAACTTCAACGAGTTATTTTGTAATTATTGGAATCAAGTACCCGTTCGTCGTACGGTACAATCATCCCGTGGGGAAGGGAATATGAAGAGGCATGTTTAACACTCAATGAAGAAAGTATTTGAGCGTGTCGTGCCGTTTTTTTTATCATTCACTTGATATTTATCGTGTCCATCTAATTTTAGATTCTTCTCTACGTGCGCATTAGAGATACTAACGCAAATTGATAAGAATCCCATCGCTAAAATTGAAAATCCAAGCAATAAATTTAAAAGATGAACTTATTTAGAAATTATGTGGAGATAATAAAAAGGTATCCCTTCAATTTTACCACCTACTGATTATAAGATCAGTTAGCTTTTATTGAATATTGCGGAAATTAGGGCTGACACCGATGTTTTTTATGTACACTTTTTTTGCTGATAATTATCAGCTGCAATAAAAGGTTATTACTACAATTTCACTATCTTCCTATGAATCGGGTATAACTCTTGAAAACTCATTTTATTGCTTCACTGATATGTTGGAGTGTTGAAATAGAAGCGCCAGTTTAAATATTTTTAAAGAGTACATGTAAATTTAGAACTATAAAACATAGCAGTTACAAACAACAGTTTCTTCATTCAAGAACTTGAATTTTCTCCACGCGGAGAGAGAAGTTGAATAAAAATAACCAGAAAATACTTTTCCGTAATTCCAGAGAAAGCTGTTTCAATTTTTTTACAATTTTTCCCTCACCCGATCTCCCCCCGATCATTTCCATCGAACTTCAGTCTCACCATAAATAATAAACCTAACTGCAAACTTTTACCACAATAACCTGAAATTTACTGTATCAATTACCGAGACTGAGTTCTCTCTCACTACCTCGACGAGATCCCCAAGTCCCTGAAAAAGTCATTTATTCGCAGTATCTCATGGCCATTAATTTTCATCAAGGTAGAATGGCGAAGTGAAATGACTTTTCCTGAAAACAAGAAATCCTTTTTTCCCCACCGCACTGCAGTATTTAAAAACAAACGTTATTCCGTGGTTCTTTTAATTTAACGACTGGTGTTTTTACCGGTATTTCGTTAAAATAACATGAATGGCACAATTAATATTATGGGTCAGTGAGAAGAATGTCCAATTGTGTTGTATCGAGTGGGGCCATCAGGAGAAGTTGAAGAAGAGAAGAAAAAAAAGAGTGAACACGTGTACGCACGTACAACCCGCGAAACAATAATATATAAGGCAAGCACGCCAGTTACCACGCGTATGTAAATGAGGCAAAGGGTTATACGTATCTACCGCTAGAATAGCGATACCAGTAGAGAAGGATAGCGGTCCTTCTAGAGGACCCGACGGTGCGAACCGTGTGAATCTCAACACGGGTTGGTTGTTACCGTTCTCGTTCCTCATCCTATCCTTCTTGTTCCTCTATCCTTCTTACTCACTGTCCGTGATCGCTCAGCTCGCGGGAATTCCCTCTTTCTTTATTTTATTTTTCCTTCAATTTGTTCCTCCGGTTTTTCACTACTCCCCATTGCTCTTTTCACTCTAACGAAGGGGAGGGGCGAGAGCTTGCATTGTGAGAAATTGGTGATTGGCATGGAGTCAGATGTTATGGGCTAAATATCACTGTGAAAATGAAGAAAATCGGGGAAATCGATATAATTGTGGCATTTCCATAAATTCATAAAAATCACGGAAGAAAGTGAAAAAAAAATAAAAGAATATAAAAGAAAGCTGGAGGTACTGGAAGACACTGCAATGTCCTAAAATAATTGGTAGTTATTTCAGGTCAATCAATGAAACTCGTAATTAGTCTCGTGAAGAGAGGCCCCTTGACTTTAATGCTCCTTGATATTTCGTTGTTCATGGATGGCAGGAAGTTGTCAATTCCCCAGAGTCTCCAGGATGGTATCACCCTAATCTTCATCAGCTTGACTAGCGTACATGAGCCATCAGCGCCTGCAGAATACACCTCCGGAAACTGGTATTCATTTTGACTCATGAAAGGAAACGTATTTTATCACACTATTTTTCCAACGTCTCCTCACGTCTTCTTATTTTTTTACTATCTCTGTGGCGCAACAAATTCACAGCTGTCCATGCCAAATGCCAGCTCGTCTCAATCGTGAAAATACTTCCGAGTGGGTATGCGGCGTCAGCGAAATTGAAAATTGCGAGCATTAGGGCTTTTCTTATGCATCGGACGGAGGTAGAATTCTCAACGATTAGTCTCACTCTCCCGCACTGTCTCCTCACGTCCTTGCCAATTTTCACTTTACCAGTTTTGTTATTCCTCCTTGGTGAATTTACTTGCCAATTGATTGGCATCAGGAAGCCGAAGGTCGAGCCCTCGGGGCCCATATCAACCCTCGGGGCCCATATCAAACTTCCGCCTCCCTTTTATCACATTACGACGAAATCTTTACCTCTTCTTCATCAGCTATTGAGTCTCCCTCCATTTAATCTCGATGGCGAAAAAAAAATTCCTCTTCAAATCAAAACAGTCACATCAAAATGGAATTCCGAAAAAATCAACAATTTCCCAGCGGGGATAATTTGGAAGGTCCTGGTGTACACCACCAGGGGTAGAAAATTCCCATAATCCAGAAGAAACGTTGAATAGCTGAAAGCTGAAGAAGGGCTGTTCTGAATAGCCCCCCGGTACCTTCCCACGAGGAATCGAATCAGTCTCGGCTGTCCCTTGCTCGTCCCCAGCTATCCGCACATCATAAACCCACGCGTCGTGGAAATAACATCCGTGGAATTCCTCCAACGTAGCGACTGTCGTCGTTAAGATTGCCGAGGCAAATACCAGAAGTACAGTGTACACGAGAAAGAAAAAAATGATAAAAATTCATAATGCGAATAGTAACAGTAACCATTTTGGTGCCTGAGATTAAATTTATCAGTTGAGATATTAGCCGTGGGTATCATCACGTTGAGATTTATCTCTGGAGTCGATGGGGTTCTGGTGTTCTGAGAGGGAATACTGAGTGGGTTGCCGCGGGCCGGGCGTCGACCGTGAAAAATAAGTTGGCAAAAAATATAACACGGGGGGAATGTTAGTTGGAAAATAACGAAAGAGCAGTAGCTTTTATCCTGACTTGGTTGGGGAATATGTGTACACTCTTGTTGTGCATAATACGCTTTTATGCACAATGGGAATTGAGAGTGCACGGACCCGCGAGATATGCTACGAGGCATGTGATGTACCGAGTAATATGCGAGAATGGCAAATTTGAATTGAAACGCTCATCTCGTTGGGTTTATGAAGTTGAAAAACTGGATTATGTAGAGCGTCAAGTTGCCAATGAATGCTGAATAACGTGAACTCAAGGAAATACTCGTATTCGCACTCATCAATTTCAAACAGCCAATTGATTGACTCCAATTAGTTTATCCACTTATCATAATTCAGCACGACTCTTCCGCTGTGTGATGAAGTTATTCATTAAATTTTTATAGGTCTTGATGGAAAAAGCCATCAATTCCAGGAATCACTGCGAATTTTATCATTAAAATTACAATCTATTAGGTTCTACTAAAAATTATGTAACGGCATTTCGGATGTTTAAATAGACGTTTGCTTATGGAAAATTTAATGTAGATGTGAAATTTTCTCGGGTTTTTATCCTCAGATTTTATTGCAAGAAACGAATAATAATCTGAATGAAAAAAAAAACATAATGCCTCGCAGAAAGGACAGACTAAATTAATACCATTTTTGAAGAGAATTCGCATTAATTTTTAAGAGAATTCCAGCGGAATTTCACATAATTATAATAAAATTGCGGATATGAGTTTTAATGGACGATTTAATATCGAATATTCTCGAAATAAATGATCCTGAAAGTTGAAAATTCTAACGGTCACGTTTAAAACGACATTTGATGAATTACCTCAGGTTAATTCTTCCCCATAACTCGGATAATTCCCCTAAACCCCGGAGGCCCCCCATCAACTTATTTAAACCAATAAAAAGCGATCTCAACCCAAGATAAACAGCAACTGAAACGTATAAACTCCTACATGACCTCGGTATCGTTCGCCACTTCAATTGAATGAAATTTTTACATCTCTTACCTCCCAGCATTAATATCGATGAATAATTCAGAGCTAACGGTCATGGAGGGATTCATAAAGGTCGCAGAAGCGTTTCGAATGCAGTGCACTTGGTCGAGTGTATCTCATTCTTCTTTGCGAAAATTAAAAGAAATACATTTTTTTTTTCAGCAATTTTCAACTCCTTGTCTCCACTAACGGCGACCAAATTAATGAGAATTTTGATGCTAAATTTGTTTCGGGTATTGAGGAGTTCTCGTTGCATCTGCAACGGTTGATCACTCCCTCAATGGCTGAACTTGGGGTAATGAAAGAATTGGAGGGGGCGGAAACCGTGGGACCTTTGGCGTTTTAACGCCCAAGTGCAGAAGAACTTTAATTTAAATGAAGAGTCACGGTTCTATGACTCTTATACCCGTTATTCACGACGTTGGAAGCGGATCGATCGTGGACCAGGAGTGATTAACGGCAGTCAGACACCTCTCACAATTGTTCCCTGAGAGATTACATTAGGGCATTCTCTCCAGGGACCCCAATTACTTCTTAATTGACCATTTATTCCATCAAGGCATTGTAGAAATTTTCGAAAAATTCCCCGATAAAATATCCGCCTCTAAAAAATTCTATCGATTGTCATTTTTGATTTTCTACAAATGATATCTCATGCGCTGCGCGATATGATGGAAAAAAAAAATTGTGTATACACGATTTACGCATTTTGTGTACGCGATATTCAAGAACACTTCACACTCCATCCAGAGCCAATGAAACTGTTGAAATAATTTTCTAATGTCAAACCACTTTTTGTCTCTGTGTTGTTTTATTGAATGTTTAAATCATGTAATTAGGGGGATTCATCTGAATATTTTTTTTGAGTAAAATATAAAAAAAAAGGAGAAAAATATCCGGTAATTTTGTTCTGCTGACAATGATATCTAAACGACGAATGCTGTAAATGTTTTTCCTCAAGTGGTTGTCTGAGGATTCAGGGTAATTTCCGCTGGAATTCTCGCGGAATCTTTGGCCTTGCACTCTGGGATGTAGCAATACCGATAAAGTGAACCGACTAATCGATTGTCCAGTGGGCGAAACGAGCATTGAACCTGACCGGTACGAGAATGACGGTGACGTTGCGATTATGTTATAAACAACTTTTATTTGTTTCGAGGGGACTCATAACTGGTTGGAGAGGACAAATATTATTCTAGGTCAGGTCTTAAGTGCTCTCCAGCATCAACAGTTCCATGAAAAACACAGGCTGAAGAAAAATCTATGGGAATAATCCCCTGGAAACTGATGAGTTGTTTTTATGATTTTTTTTTTCTCGAACAATCATATTTCTCATCGACAAAACAATAAAATTTATAATGGGCCTTTCACGGGACGCACCGAGTGTGAATCAATCAATTCAATAGCGAAAAGATTAAAGGCAACAAGTCGATTAGACAATAGATACCATTTCGATGAATATCTTGAAATGTGAGAGTGACAGCAAAATTTTTATGAAGACCTTTTTTATGGCTCGTATTGTCCTCTGCAGAAGAGGTCTTAACCAGGATGACGGTAGCTCCTCCAGATTCGAAGATATTCTCAAAAAACTGGAGAAACTCCGTGAATCTTGAAAAGCCAGGTTGCGAGAGGCCGAGAGGCCCCGATAGGTTCGATGAAATCGCAATCCCCTGGACATCTCCATCTCGGAGAAGCGGTCATCCACGATGGCTCATGTGGGCTAAGGTCTACTCCGATGTTTCACCTTCACAAGGAATATCCATGGAATCCCCGAGGCCATATAGGCTCCGAGCGCTGCTCGTGCGTGCAGGATTTTCAGATTATTCTCGTCGATAATAAAACAAAAAGTTGGAATCCACCGGTTGATGAGGAACAAGTCCAGCCACCGGACAGGACGAGCATGTGGGTGAAGGCTAAAAGTCACCTCTCCACGCGATTCTTTTTTTTTTTTTTTTGTCTACTTCTCCCTCAGGATGTGATGAAAGTGAAACTCCAAGGCCTGCAAGATACACATAATAATGCTAACGTGCCTCAATGCTTTGTCCTACAACATTTAAAAAAATTTAATCTTTTCATTAAAATCCGTCGGTACCTCATCATCGCTTTCCTGGACACTGGGTGTGAGTCACTCATGCGTCAACGTCAGGTGGTGGGACTAAATGCGATGGGCTCTCCTTTGCCTTGTCATTGTTAACTTTTTATTGGTGCTCAACAACCGTGTAACATGTTGCATCAAATACAGTGGCACCTTGGGGGCCACTTCTGGCGTTACGATAATTACGTGTATCAAACGGTCAAGGTACATTTTCTGGCCACTTCACTCCACCGTTGGTATTTTTATTCATGCAGATGGGAACCTTTTTTAGCTGTTGGAGGCTGCTTTAATGCTTTTACGTTCCTACACTCGTAATCCAGATCATAAATTCCTGGGTAACGGTGAGGTGGGTAATGTCGTAGTCGAAACTTGGAACTTGGAATTTATAAATAGATTGTAGCGGAGGTAATACCTGGGTTGATTCAGTAACAGCAGAAATTGTTGTCGTTGCAGAAATTCATGTACGGGAGAATTTCATTGCCTGGGAATTTATTATCTTTTCCTCCGTTTTATCCACATGTTAGAAAATATTCGGTAGAATTTGAATTGAGAAAATTCTACGGGAAATATCTTAATGGTAAAAGTCGGATGGAAATATTGAATTGTAATTACTTTTTTTGCAGGATATGGTCAATTGAGCATTCCGATAGAATCGACGGAAAAATAATTCAAACATTTTTTTGTTGTGTATTGTTTGTCCTTTTTTTATTATCTTGGGTTCGGACTGTTGTCTTAATCTTGCGAACGGCGGGAATGGGGAAGGACTCAGATGCTTGCGATTGCCTGAAAAAAATTTAATGAAAAAACTTAGCGCCTTCTGTAAGAACTTTGAATTCCCTGTGGAACTTCCGATAAAATCCATTGATTAATGCTTTGTTAAAATTTTTTTTTACAGATAAATTCAATTTTATTCATTGAGCTGTATTGATAATGTATTCGTTATCATTTCATTACACTGATATAAAAAAATTATAAAAAGTTTAAGTTATCAAATATATTTCATACATTTTTTTTCGCACATGCCCCCGATCATGCCGAGGCACAAACGCCAGTTCACGATGAAAAATAAAAATCTATGAACTTTTCCACATGAAATATCCAATGGAAAAATTAAGCAAAGACCTATTTTCTGCTAAACCCCATGAATTAAGGAGGAAAAAAATATTTATTGCACTTGAATTGAGATCGTAAAAGAAACTTAACTGTACCCACAACAATTTGGCGGTTTTCACCAGTGAATTTGCCCCGGTTATGAACCCATAGATATCTTCTGATTATTCCAGATGTTGAGGATGAATATACGAGAATGATGAGAATCACCGTTTGATTCGAGGAAAACTTCCGGAGTGAAGTGGCCTGGAGGGGTTGGAGGTATGTCCCACTGCCTGAGGAATAAAAATATGAAATGTGAAAAAATATAATAACAAATGTCGTGGGAATTTTTTGCTACAATTACCGTTACGTGAGATCTCCATCTGTATGGTTTATGTTTTTTTTTTTTTCAGTGAGTTGAACCACCGGATTTTTTCCTCCGAATGACAATGCGCTCGCTCAGTGCCTCACGACTCTCGCGATATTTAAAGGAGTTCGTGTAATTATTGAACTGAAAAAAAAATAAATAATGGAAGAATATACACCTTCGTCCAATCGATATGAACCTTTGTGTGAATATCTTCATAAATTCTGATTGATTTTACTCAAATGTCTGCTGTTGAACAATTTTTACGGAAGAGTAAATTTTATTTTTCTCTGATCCTTCGCACAATTAACAGATACACTCACCGAAGATGTTGGATCTTGGGAATTTGGGTTAAATGTGTAACTCGGGGAAACAAACCTGCTGATAAAAATCGGAGTAACCACGGGCAATTCCAAAGCCCACAGTTGTAATTACACCAAGAAGTATGGTCCTCTGCATTCGTAATTTCCGTTGATGGACCAGCAGTCGTTGCTTAACGTCACTCATTCTCATGTTGGCCTCTCACTGGATTGCGCATACGACGAGTAGATTAATCATAATTTTTTTCAGGTTTACCCCCGTCTGGAAAATTCCAGTTAGTCGATTCATCCTTCGGGTCTCCTAAGAGGACCGTTGACTGACTTACTTTGAGAATCAGTGGGCGAATTCTGGTAGTTATTCATCATTTACAGAAATTTTTTCCACAATCCTGAATCAATCCAGAATCAGAAGATTCGATGATTCCTCGTGTGCCGTTCGTGATTATGCATTGAAGCTTTATCGAATAATTTTGCAATTTTTTTTATTGAGCACAGAAAACAAATGAAAATTGTTGATGCTCTACGGAAGTTCATTAGGAACGAGTTATGGAGGAGTTGATTGGGTCAATTTGGCTTTTTAGTCGTAATACGCAGAACGACTATGCGTTAGGCAAAACACCGAGTCGAGATAACTGTCTTTTATTGACCCCAAGGCTCATTCTCCATTCATCTTTCGCCTCAGGATCTCTTCCACGAGATAGAAAGGAGTCCTCAGATCTTTCTATATCCAAAAAACTGTGGTGAACTATATTTTCAATTTAATAGGTAACCCTGAGTTTGGGGGAATTTTAAGTGAACCTTCTCCCAGAAAAAAATATTCACAATATTCATTATTTAATTGTCAATTTAATTGCTGAGTTGACAACAATCTTTTTCCAGCTCATGATTTCTTCATGATTCTTCATGATTTTTTTTCCTTTTTTTTTAAATTCAATTGAATTCAAATAAATCCAAGTTATGCCCTCCACCACGAGTGTCGCCATCGTCCACTGGGAACTAAACCCTCGAGGTTACTTTGCGTCACATTGCGCGATAATGCCGACAGTTATCAGCTGACTGTTTATATTCGACACGCTGAGGAACCGTTTTTCTTATTTGTCAGTCATCAAAGAATTAAATTAGCCTGTCACTAATCGTCACTGTCACTCGAAAATGTTGAGACCAGCACGAACATTGGTGATTACTCTGCAACGTGTCAAAGAATGCAGTCCAGTCCTGAGATGCAGTCGACAGAGATCAGACATAACCGAGTACGAGTGTGAGTGATTTTTACCGTTGTTTATTAACTGCCAATTAATTAATTTATCTCCTACTGACAGCTCCCATCACAGATGAGTACAAAAGAGGACCATCTGAGGGAAGATCCCTCTACATGGACGCACAAGCCACGACACCAATGGTAAAACGTCAATTCAATCATCAAGAATTTTTTAATTAACTTATCCATTATTCCCATTATTTTATATCCAGGATCCCAGGGTTTTGGACAAGATGCTACCGTTTTTCACAGCGTACCATGGGAATCCACACTCCAGGACTCACATGTATGGATGGGAGTCTGAAGCTGCTGTGGAACACGCGAGGAAGGTAAAATATCCAGGGAAATCAGTATGTCCTTTCTCATCAGGGAAAAACCATTAGTACTAAAGAATATTTGGGTTTAACTAGATATGAGATAATATTTTACTGACAACCTTACCAATTGTCGAGTAAAAATTCAGTCAAGAGAATATTTATCCCGTACTTTCAGCAAGTCGCTGATTTAATTGGGGCTGACAAAAAGGAGATAATTTTCACCTCCGGAGCAACTGAGTGCAACAACATCTCAGTCAAAGGTGTTGGGAGGTTCTACAAAGCTAAGAAGAAGCACATTGTGACGACACAAACTGTAAGCAAATACTTCTGAACGTTAAGCGAACGAATTTAATTCGTGATACATAAAAAAATCAATTTCCCACGTGTTTGCATTCGACAGGAGCACAAATGCGTTTTGGATTCCTGTAGAGCTCTCCAAGCTGAAGGATTTGAAGTCACTTACCTTCCAGTTTTGCCGAATGGACTCATCGAGCTGGAGAAATTGGAAGCAGCAATACGCCCTGATACGTCTCTCGTGTCAGTAATGATGGTGAATAATGAAATCGGAGTGAGACAACCGATCGAAGAAATTGGGGCATTATGCAGGTATTCGAAGAAACCCCACAATCTCCTCGGTGCAGTATTAAAATTTTTTTTTTTCACCTATTTAAGGAAGAAAAAAGTATTTTTCCACACAGACGCTGCCCAGGCAGTGGGCAAAATCCCGATTGACGTAAATGCCATGAACATCGACTTGATGTCCATCAGTGGCCACAAAATCTATGGACCCAAGGGAGTCGGAGCTCTCTATGTTCGTAGACGACCTAGGGTACGTGTAGAACCGATTCAGAGTGGTGGAGGACAGGAAAGAGGGATGAGAAGTGGTACTGTACCCACTTCACTTGTCGTTGGGATTGGAGAGGCGTGTGAAATTTCTGGAGCTGAGATGGAGGTACAGACTATTTAATTCAACACTAATAAATTAATCACTGATTTATTCATTCTCTCTCAGCGATTATGAGTGCAAATTACAAAAATATAAAAAATTGCACGATTAACACAATTCAGCAATCTAATCATTAACATCATTTATTATTAACTCTTATTATTATGGTTTGTGATTGTCTTATTAATCGATTTTTCAATCAATTTGAATTTTAGTATGACAACAAGCATATAACAACCCTTGCAAATCATCTAATCGATAAAATAACAACGAACTTACCCCACGTCGTGCGAAATGGTGATCCCGTCGCTTGGTATCCAGGCTGTGTCAATCTCTCTTTTGCTTACGTCGAGGGTGAATCGTTGCTGATGGCTCTGAAGGATGTGGCCTTGAGCAGTGGTTCGGCTTGCACCAGTGCCAGTCTTGAGCCAAGCTACGTTTTGCGAGCTATTGGAGCCTCTGAAGACCTCGCACACTCCAGTATTCGCTTCGGCATTGGGAGATTCACGACACTCGAGGAGATCGATTACACCGCCGACAACACCATTCGACATGTCAAACGCCTCAGGGAGATGAGGTAATTCTCGCTTGAATAATTTTTTTTTTTTCAATCTTTTCGCTGAATTAAGAATGATCGAATGATATTTTGATACAAAGATCTCTTTATTGGTAGCATCAATGGTATTTAATTATTGCAAAAATTAAACACTTGCAATTATCATTTTTATAATCTTCAAAAAATTTTCAGTCCACTCTGGGAGATGGTGGAGGATGGCATCGACCTGAAGACGATTAAATGGACTCAGCACTGAGTCTTTATGAGTTTGGAAATAATTCCAGTGACTCCTCATGGCAATGATTTTGTGGGGACACTAGAGAGTGAGGGATTGAGGCACTGGAAATTTCTGAATCTTCGATATCTCGAAGGAATATTATAAATATAATAAAATTGATGACTTATTTCGAGGAATTTCGAGAATTGAAGATTCAGGAGATCATTGTGCACGGATAATCTACGTCTTGTATAATTTCACTCAATGAAAATCTGTTACTGGAAATGTTCGTGATTAATACCCAATGGCACCTTCTTTCTCAGCAGTCTTGGTTAAAAATATAATGATAAGAAAATAATTAGCACGTCATTGATCTACGTAAAGCTCGTGATATAAATAAAATAAGTCTCGTGGTTCCTCGTATCCGAGGATCAGTGTCGTGAGATTAAAAAAAGGATATGAGGTCTCAGCACATGCAGGTGGGATCGTTGGACTCTTCGTAGGATATCTTGAAGTGATCCTCGTCCATCTCGTGGAGACCCATTCGAGATCTATTTGCCTCCACCAAGTGTTGAGCTATGTCCTCGAACATTTCGTTTATGCCCTCACCGGTCTTACAAGAGGTTTTATAAGTCGCTGATATCAAATTGTGGCACTGTTCACTAAAAAAAATTAATGAACGTTGAATATTTTTAAACAAAGACAGCCACGTGGATTTTTCCAAAAATAAAATGGGGAATGCTTACCAAAATTGCTCCATCTCCGCATCAGTGACCTGCGGTCCATTATTATCAACATCACTCTTATTCCCACACAAGAATATCTTGGCATTCTCGGCGTAGGTAACAATATCCAGCAGATGCTGTGAGAGAAGATGAAAAGAAGTGGAATTATCGAGGGCAAAGACTAAAATCGCAGCCTCCGCGAATTTATAGTAGCTGGAAGTGACAGAGGCGACCCTCTCCATTCCTCCAGTGTCCCACAGCTGGAGCTAAATCGAAAGAGACCCAAAAAAAATCAATCTCCCGAAAAATCCACCCCTGAAGAATGCCCCAAATCACCTTGATCCTCCTGTCATCAACGAGATACTCCTTATCGATATTATCCAGCCCCAAGGTCGATTTCCTGTCATTGCTCGTCACAAATGTATTATTAGCAAACCTTCGAAATATCGACGACTTGCCGACCCCATACTCCCCGCAAAGAATGACCTTTTGCTCGGTAACTTTGACAGTTGCCATGTCCTCTATTACGAGAAAAAATCACTCCTCTATTTACAAACTACTCCAATTTTAATCGGACAAAATGGAACACACTGCGATCCAGCACTGCTCTTCATTGTCACCGAGAATAATTAGATTACACTCTATTCCATTCCATTGCGCAGTCGTCCACAAAAACGAGAATTCTATTAAGACGTTAATTAGTCATCAATCATCGCAAGAATAATTTCAATTTACTTGGAATCACTTCCACCAAAGAGGATTGACTGAAGTAGAGGCTCAGTTCTGGGGGTTGAGTGACTCCAGCGGCATCGTAGTACCAAGAGAGGGAGGGCGCCACACGCAATGCTGGGGTGTTTTTTTTTTATTAACCAAATTTTTATTGCAATGCTGGGGTGTCCATCAAGTCGACGGGGTGAATTTTATTTTCTGCGGCATGAATGCTTTTTGTTTTTTATTTGTTTAACGGAAATTTAGTCGACTGTAGAACGAGCGGAAGGGGGAAGCCACATCTTGTGGAATTTCAAATGAAAAAAATTATTCCATATATTGAAGATATACTACTAATGAAATTTTATTTTTTAAATGAGCGCGTTGTCTAATCAGCAACGCGCTTGACTGGTACGCGGACCGCTTGGGTTCGATACCAGCATCATTCTTTTTTTTTTTCAAAATAATTCCAATTTTTTTTTTTTTAATGGCTAATCAATGGAAATATCGTTTAAAAACTGAATATTTGAAAATCGAGGAGATATCTAGTGAAATTGAAAAATTCGACATTTTTGAAAACGAAACTTTTTAAAAATATATACTCCTAATAAAATTAAATTATTGTAATAGCGCGTTATCCTAGCGGTAACGTGCTTGCCTATCACGCAGACGGCCAGGGTTCGATCCTGCCGTCATTCATTTTTTTTTTTAATAATTCCAATTTTTTCTTTAGGTAGGTATTCACTACAATTGAAAAATTCGAAATTTTTAAAAAAGTATCAGGGTAACATGAACGAGGAGCTATTCACTGAAATTTTCACTGAACGTGATGAATGAGGAGCTATTCACTGAAATTTTCACTGAACGTGAAAAATTCGAAATTTTAGAAAAGGTATCAGGATAACATGACCATCGAGGAGTTATTCACTGAAATTTTCACTGAAAGTGATAAATTCGAAAT